CAGTTCGCCGTCCTGGGCCATGGGGCGGCGAGAAGCCGCCCCCACGCACATCGCTCGCCCGCGCCGCTTCTCGCGGCCACCAGCACATCGCTCGCCTGTGCCGCTTCTCACCGCCCCCATTGGCCCAGGACGGCGAACCACGGCCAGTGGGGGCCGCGGTCGGCCGAACCTGCCACGTCAGCAGGTAAATAAAACTGGCTCGGCCTGCCAGGGTGCTTACCCTGGCAAGCCGCGTGCCGAACGTTGCCGACCCCTGGTCTGGAGGCTTGGATTTTAGTCCCACCTATATAGTTAACTCATTGTATATGACCTGCTGAAGAGTACAACTTTTCTTTATATCTTTAGCATACAGATAATAGTTCTTACCCACTTCGTAGAACACATTTAGTGAGCTTTGGATGAAAACTGGTACAGGTCAAACAAAAATAACAAACAGTGTATCTCTTCTACACTCTTGTTTGAAGGCAAGTTATTTGTCTGGGGCCTAGACAAGTGAATTTGTGGGGCTCTGAATTAAGCGTGTGTGTAATCAGATGTTAGTTTGCTACTTAAAACGAAGATACTTTGTTTAGAACATCATATATGTTTATGAAGGATACTTTAAAGAGCCAGTTAAGGCAGGTTGGTATGGTCTTACTGTGCATCTATCTGAAATTATGGAGATGTCATTACCAGTTCTTTAGCTAAATGTGCATTGCATCTTAAAGTGGGGTTTTAGTCACTTTGTTTCTGACAAATGGTGAACATAGCCAAATTTACCACTTACTCCTGTGGTAAAGATTTAGTTTTCTGGACAGTTATAGGTGAATAATTTCAATATTTTTGGAATTTTTAGAGAGAAAAATGACTTCATTCTACCATTTTATGTTTGGTGTATCTCTTTGCTGTCTCAATTTTAAAATAATTTTGTTTTAGTGTTTGAAACATAATGAAGTTGGAGTTCATAAACAAAATTTTGAGCATACTCTATTGAAAACTTGGAAACTACCAAGTTAATAGCATCCCTCATCAGGGGTGTTTCTGTTTATGTAATGAAAGCTAACAGATGATGATTGCATTTTCAAAAGCTGATAACATTTTGCACTCAGAACTGACAGAATATAGGTCTGTGGAGAATGCATCAGGTAAGAATGAGGCTTCTTGAGGTTAACGGGAGCTGTGGGGTACTTGTCGCTCTTGAAAATTGGGTCATTTGTCTGGCTTCCTAAATATAGATTTAACAGCTTCACTTTAGGCTCCTGTTTTAAAAATCTTG